TTAATCGAAATCGTGGACATGCAGATACGGTGTTCGATCCTTAAACTCGCCTTTGGAGTCCTTATCGGCAACGCAGAAGTCTTGAAGAGGGCTAGGATCAGAAGCCATTGCGAGAGAGGAAACCATGGCAAGGAGAGCGATGAGGAAGATTTTGGCTGCCATCTTTAGGATGGATGAAGCTACAATTGGTGTTGTGATACAAATGCACGAAGGAGATGGATATATATAGAGGGAGAGGGGGGAGAGAGGCAGGGTTGAAACATTCTTGATCATTTGGTAAGAGAGCTGAAAAGTATGGCTTTTGCTTATAATAATAATGTCTATAGACTGTGCGTGCTTCTTATCTTGTGCAGAGAAAGAGTCTACAAAGAGGAGCTTAATGTTTTGGTCAATGAAGATTTCTTGTATGCCATTCAATTGACAGGGTTTTGATGACGACAGGATGGTACCAAATGGCAAGCAAAGTCACGGAAACCAGTGGAGCCTATGGATCCACCGGAAGGACTAGTAAACCAATGATCTCAGTTTGACTTCATCTAACATTAAGCACTACAATGGAAGGCGTTGTCTGTCACCTCCAAACACATCTTTTCAATCTTCACCTCACCATATCAACATTCCATAAAGTTTAAATATATTTTGAATAACTTTAATCAAATCAAAATAAAATGTATACTCCCAAAATAACTTAACTTGTGGCTAGACATCTTACGATTTGATTCTATTAGGCTTTGTAGATATCAGACTCACAAAGTTGGCTGTTCTTTTGAAATATTTTACAAAGTTTGTAAATATTTTAAAAAGGCTCAATTACAATAATTTGTTGTTCTTCATCTTTGCCTTGTGAAGATGCTCTGTGTAGGTTGAAGCATGCTTCCTATCAAAGGTCATACACTTCTTTTGAGACAAACACCCATCCTGCCGGAAGAGATGGCAGTGAACTCTTTGTGATCTGCTAGTTGCCTATCTGTAGATTGTCATCGTTATCAAAAGATTCTTTTGCTTCGATGATGGTAGGTGATTGCATGCAGAAAATTGACCAAAACTAGTATGATCCAAGTGAGATGTTTACCATTAAAAATTCATCAATGGATATATATGTATGCATGTATTCTTAGATTATGAGTCAAACTCATCATTCGATTCTCTCAATTTTTGTGACTAACTCTATTAGCAACAATTTAACTTTGGTTACCAAAGCTTATCTTGACTCAAACATTGGCTTTGATAAACGATGAGTGTGAAGTAGACTTGTTAAAATTAACATATATAGAGTCAAATATCAATTTAATAAAACTTAAACTTTTAGATTATAAGTCAAAACTGGATATATGTCATCAGGCACTTTTCATTTTTACTAAATGTATGGTTTTTCTTTTTATCATATTTTCAATCTCTTCTCATACATGAATATTTTTTAACAGTAACAAATGCAAAGAAAAGTTCGATAATGCAAACCAGAGATTTGCTGCAATGTGGCTTCGCAATTAATAATGATCTCATCAGTGATCTCCCTCTCAATTGACTCTTAACATCATATTTATTTCGGGTTGGGAAACATGAGTATTATTTCGATCACTACAGAGAAAACAAACAGTAATAACATGCAAACGCCTGACTTCGATCGATCGCCAAGTGTTTGCTTATTGGAATGTTAACATGGATGTGAAGAAGATGCAGAGGTGGTGTTTCTTCAGTTGTTGTTGTCCATCTAGAACTTAGCCTGAAGCCAGTCGATGGTCTTCTTGTCCACCTGGAAAGCCTTGGCCAGCACATCGTCGGAGATGGGCGGATTCGACCCGAACACAGCGTTGGCGATGGTGATCGTGCCGGGGTTTTGGCTACTGAGAGCACCGATGGCGATAGTTTTGGTGTGCCCAGGGTTGAACTGGAAGTGGATGAGTCCCTCAGGGAACACAAACACATCACCCTTCTTCAGCATCTTGGTGAAGAGACGGTTGCCGTCGTCGGTGTTGGATGTGACGAAGCCGACCAAGAGCTGTCCTTCTATGACGGTGAGTATCTCGGTGGCACGAGGGTGAGTGTGGGGAGCGTTGAGGCCTCTGGGTGCGTAGTCGATGCGAACCATGGAGATGCCGAGGGTGTTGAGTCCGACGAGCTGGTTCACGTTGACGGCGGTGACATTGGAGCCGACCTTGTTTACTGTGTCGCCAGCTTTGTCGAGTCCCCTGAAGAAGAAGTCTTCGGCTTTCACCACCTTGGGGTCCTTGCAGACGAAGCCATTCACCAGCACTGCAACAGGAGGAAGCAAACTCGTTCAGTAAATATGCATCGGGAGAGCAAACGCACCGAAGGAGATTAATCTGGATACTATGAATACCTTTAGAGTCCTTATCTGCGACACAGAAGTCTTGAAGAGGACTAGGATCAGAAGCCATTGCAAGAGAGGAAGCCATGGCAAGGAGCGCAAGGAGAAGCATTTTGGCTGCCATCTGTGTAATCTTTAGGATGGACGAAGCTGCAATTGGTGTTGTGATACCAATGGCTTGGAGGAGATGGGTATATATAGAGAAGCAGGCATTGACATATTCCTCATCATTCGGTGAGAGAGTTGAAAAGTATGACATGTTAGGTTGCCTTCTGCTTATAATAATGTTTGTAGACTTCCCCTTTTACGTAATTGTTATCAAGATATTGACGCGGTTGAGAGAAAAGATCTAAGAGAAGCTTATTCTTCACCGTCAGTTTCTTATACGTAGTAAATGCATACACGTGGGAAACCAGTGGATCATCTCAATCTGACTTCACTTAACATCAGATACTATAATGCAAGCCTTCTTCGTCACGTTCAAACATGACCAGGGCAACACGTTGCATGTAGTGACCAACATCAAATACTATGGTGCATGCTTGCACTAGTAGTGACAACTTCCCTCGTTATCGCAACGTCCTATATGACTTCATGCATATGAATTTGGAACCAAGATTAGGAAAATTAAGAGAAGAGAATGGTGTTAACAGTGATGTGATACGCGATACATGTCAAGAGCATATTAGATGAGAAAGAAAAAACAAAAAGGAAAATAATCCTCTTCGTTAAGGATTCAAATAGTTGAACTGTATATACTGGATTTGACCCACAATTTGATCAGATTACTTTTAGGTTAAATTAGTATAATAATCTCATTTGACTTAAACTCATCATAAGCGAAAATAATAGTTCAAACCAAAGTCATGTAGGTTAACTCTGATTTCAACCCTTTTTATGAATATAAGTGTTTAATTTTGAATCATTTGGTTAAATAATCTAAACCAAACCCCATATTTCAAAAAAAGATATATAATAAATCGAGTTTTAATAATAATTGAAACTCGAGCTAAGTCTCAAACTGAGTTTGAAGTCCCCATAAGATAAATGAAGTCGAGTTGACTCGATCATAATAAAAAAATTACAATTCTAAAACAAACAATAAATAAAAATTATGGCATTATCTTAAAATAATTTAACCCATACTGATTGAGAAAGAAAAATAAGTACAAAGAAATAGAGATACAAGCACAGATAAGAGGAGGACAGAAACAGAAGTTACTAACCTGACATGAATGTCTGGTAAGTCGATTTGGTATCAGAACTCCAGCAGTTCCTTTCCCCCCCCCCTTCAATTAATAGACTGCGGTTCAATCTTTTCTCGGGTGTAAAAGATGAAGCAACTAGTCTATCAACCATCTTGATATCGCTTGCCGAGAATGACACCAATGATCAAAGACATGATAGCTACTCCCATGATGATCTTGAAGGACATGGCTCTTGAAGGCCCTGTAGCGACGTGTGACGTTTGAGTCAGTGAAGCTGTTCCTGGAGCTTGATGCAAGAAGTCTCTCCTTTTCGTGTTCAGAATGCCTTGATTTCACCCCCATTTCATCCTTTGTTTCAGATTCTATGACTTCATCCGTAGCCTGAAGAAAAGAATCAGAATTGCCAACAATCAATAGAAATATTCGCCTTGAGATCCCATCATTGATTTTCATTAAACTTGCCTCTTCTCCACTTGTTGTATATGCCAACTTTAACTTGTTTTCAAGCTCTGAAATCTTCTTTTCCATTTCATCAGTTTGACTTAGTTTATGCCTCAATATGCTGATTTCTCCATTGAGTTCTACAATTTTTTTTTTCTTCTTCTGTCGCCTATAAGATCCAAACAATTCTGAATTTGACATGTTAAGCGAAAACGAATCATGAATAAAAAAGCATGGAATGGAAGACAACCGCAAAAAGGCTGATGAAAGCTTACTATTGTGATTGTTGGTCTCATTAATTATACTTCAATAACATATCATACAAGTTCAGAGACAAACAACAAATAACAAAAACAGAATTCAACTTGTGGAATGTGATCATTTAATGACCTAATCTTTAACCAAAGGATACAGTACCATACGCCTTTTGGCTTTATTCCTAGCAAATATTTTGAAGGTGTCCATGCTACTACAGACAAAAATTGCTGCATCATTTATTGTTGTCAGAGCATTGACAGTGAGGTGAAGTGGCATTCATTAAAGAAGCTCCGCATCTCTAAACAAAACCATGTTTAAGATGTAATATGAAGACTGTATCGACACCATAAGCTGACAGTCATCACTTCCAGAAGGTTAAGAAACGTGGTCTTTATACATGGATAGAAAGCAATTACATAAGCTGTTCAATATTGTCAATAGGCAATTTGATTCCCCAATACATAATAGTAGTCAAAGCACGAGATTAATATTTATTACTCGGTGAGATTTATGAAACAAAAAGAACAAGGAATTATGGTTTAGTATGGCAAATTTCTTATTTCATGTGATGAAGGTAGGGATGCTAACTTCTTATATAAGGCCAATCTTTTTGGGCCACAAAAAATGACAAAGAAAAATCATTATGTTGGGTTTCAAATGGAGTCATTTTTCATTTCTACACTGAGCGTTCAAAATTTTTAATTATATTCCCTAGGAATTACAAAGAAATGATAAAGGACCTATTTCTCATGAGACTCAGAATAATGATGAGAACAACAGATTTCCTGTGTCGAGCAACCTCGACCAGACGTTCTGGAAGATGTTCCAGATAGAGCCACTCCTACACTTCACAATACAGTATACACGAAAAGAAGGCCACGATATAATTGTAGGGGGGACATAAAGAAAAACATGTATAAAATATAACGAACTTCATGAATCTATCTAAACTGTATTTTTCATGAATTAGATGGGAATTCAACTTCATTGAAAGGTATAAAACTAACCTTATTATGTTGGGTCTCAGCGTCTTCCAATTTCCTTTCAAGGTCTTCGATATGTTTTTCTAGAAGTGTAACATACTGATGCTTATCCTCCAACTCAGTGAATGATTGCTTCATTGAAACTTCCCTTTCCAGCTCTCTTTTGTGCTCCAATTCTCTCTGTTAAATTAACCATCTAATTAATTGAAATGATCGCTGACAACTATGTGGAAATAAAGTAGATGATAGACTCAGAAAGAAGACATTAATATCAAAACACAAACGGAAACGTGATGCGTAATGAAGTCGAAACTAATGTTTTTGTCTCAACATTAAATATTTGAAACTAGAAAATTTCATTTCCACCTTATGTCTTTACTATACAAGTTCCTTCCCTATACACAAAAAGAATGCATATTATATCACACGTATCATCACTCAAAAGAGTGCATATCATATCACACGTGTCATCACTCACGTGATTGTCTTATATGGTACCTATGACTAGCAATATCGAATGGAGGTCTCAAAGGACGTCGCTCTTCTTGTGTTCCTACATGGCGATGTGATCGTCATTGACATTGTGGTGCTCGGCATGAAGCTCGTTTGGTATATAATGTGCTTTCTTGCTAATGTAACCTTTGTTCTAATGGATGTTGACCTAAGAGACCCCTTTTTCTTTTCCTCCTTTATCTTTGTTCTCCCCTTTGGCATGAAAATTCACTCTCTCATTTTTTGACCTCTCCCTTACGCTTCAAAAGATTTTCTTCTCCGTTTTTATCTCCTTCTAAACATAGGTTAGGTTTTCTTTTAGGCTTGTGCCTTCTTCTGCTTCTAGGGTAAGGTACTTGATAGCTTGAGCGAGAGGGTAAGTCCACAATAGTTGGTGCTAGCTCGATTGTGTGGGTGTGAGGATTAGTATTAGTTCGCCATAGTGGTTTTTTATTCGATCATCATAGTAGGAGCATTGGTATCAATCCATCGTAGCGAGTCTTGATTCGACCACTGTAGTGAGAGAAGAGGACCTGTTATGGTAGGATTTTTCTCGACCATATAGGCGAGAGAAGGGACCTGTTGTGGTGGGTTCTTGCTTGACCGTGTCTGCAAGAGGAGGGAGCTATCATAGTAGGTTTTGGCTTGATTGCATGGGTGGAGAAGGGATCTACCATGGTAGGTTCTTGCTCAACCGTGTCTACGATAGGAGGGACTTGTCGAAGTGGGTTTTGGCTCGACTACATGTGCGGGAGAAGGGACCCATTGTGGTAAGTTCTTGCTCGATTGCATTTGCTGGAGGAGGAACCCATCGTAGCGCATTTTGGGTTGAACGAATGGGTAGGAGAAGGGACTCGTCATGGCAGGTTCTTGCTCAACGACATCTGTGGGAGGGGGGACCTATTGTAGTGAGTTTTGACTCGACCACATATGCGAGAGAAGGGATCCATCGTGGTGGGTTCTTACTCGACCATGTCTGCGGGAGGTGGGACCCATCGTATCAGGATTTAGCTTAATCATATGGGTAGGGAAAGGGACCCGTTGTGGCAGGTTCTTGCTTGACCGCGTCCACAGGAGGAGGGACTTATTGTAGTGGGTTTTGGCTTGACCGCATAGGTGGAAGAATGGACCTATTATAGAGGGTTCTTGCTCGACTGTGTTCGCAGGAGGAGGGATCTATCGTAGTGGGTTTCGGCTCGACCACATAGGCAAGAGAAGGGACTCGTCATGGCAGGTTCTTGCTCGACCACGTCCGCAAGAGGAGGGACCCATCATAGTGGGTTGGATTGGATTCTCCAATATCGTCTAATTAGGTGGATGAGGGACTATAGATACACGATAACTAAGAACAAACAAGTTAAATAGATTGGATTCTCCTGTACTGTTTGGGGACTATGGCGTAGTGGCATAGTATATCCGCAATCGATGAGTCAAGTGAATTATTATGGAGACAATAATTCACTGAACCAAAAAGAGTTCTGATAGGTATAACTCACGACCAGCTTGATATTAGGCCTAGAGGGTCACACACGTATGGTAAGTATTGTGACGAGTAGAGGTTCGGATATGAGATAATCGCTGGAGCCCCTATCTTATTGGATATCCAATAAGTCCTTAAATTATAAGATCCAATAAGAGCTAATAAGAGATTATTGGGTAGAGATCTACTAATCCAAGAGGCTTGGATAGTTGGATGGAGATATAGTACCCAATAGGTCAGGATCCATTAAGGTTAAGTTGATAGGGGGCCTCTATAAATAGGAGAAAACTAAAGGGTCATA